AGAGACCCTATATCATTTCAAGCAAATGATATAGGGTCTCTTCTTAAAAGCCTCCAGTAATGGAGCATCCACATTGGTCAGTATACCATAGTTTATGGCTTAGTGTTATCTATGGACTTTAAAATTATGTGCTTATTCCACAAACTAACACAATGTAAAAACTCAGACAAGATCAGAAAGATTTCAGAAAATTGTTTAAATGGGCCACTGATGGAAGAACAAGTCCCTGGTTCTAGATGTCAGCTCTAGAGGATAATAGTCAAAAATATTATAACTGATTAATCTTAAATCACCAAAATGGGATGGGGGAAACCTATATAGTGCTGGATTATTTGAATATTTCACATTTGGCAGAATACATAAACCACAAACAATTCCTTTTTCATTTTTTTTCCTCAATGGTAAAAGAACTAAGAAAGTTAGATGCTGGAATGGACAAAAATGGACAAAAATATATATATATTATATATTATATATTATATATATCATCTTCTCAGATTTCATATAATTAAATCAACCACAATAAAATACTCTATTTATTAGAAGGTGGACAAGGCTTTCCACTTGGGCAATTTCCATATATGAAGAAGTGAAAGCACAGTTCACACCCCTTCCCTTACAGAAACTTGCTTTTCATCAGCTCTTTAGAGCACCAAAATACAAAAATATTGTTAGGTATTTGATTAATATTTCCATTAATCTTTGGGATAAAAATTAAAAGTAAAAAATTGGGAATTGTTTTGTTGTATCCAGAATATCAGCATAAGGTATGCATAACAAGAGCATGATCCACAAATCCATGGACAGCTTATTAATGAAATAGAAGTGTCAAATTCTGACAGAATAGTATTTCAGAGACATCAATATTGGACTTGACATCAATCTATGTTATTACAGTACACATATAAAACAATAGGAGTGACTGGTCAGGGAAGAAAAGAGACATTCCCAGAGAGCTGTGTTCCATTTCAGTAATTATCTCCACGGATATTTGTCACACACTTGAGTGATATTCACTGCAAAGCCACACAAATTACTTAATAGTTGAGAAATGGCTCTTCAGCTACAAAGTGCATGATTGCTCTTCCTTACACTGCTTGTGACTTGATTAACATTAATAAACAGATCTTCTGTATTTAGCTTTGAAAGGATATGGGATGTATTACTTTTAGATTAATTAAATCAATGGTGCTACTGTATGAAAAAAATGTTTAGAGCTATCTGATCTGGTGTGCAAAAATCTCACAGACCACAAGATAAGCACTGTCTTTTTATACCTGTTTTGCTGCCATTTAGTGATTGTTTTTTGCAGGCCAGATCTGGTGGCCCTACAATAACTTAGAGATTAGAAGAAAAGCCAAGTGGCAAAGGAATGGCAATGGGAGAATTTGCATAGCATTAACTATGTGTCCTCAAAGGCCATTTATGGCAATGCAAAAGCTTGAAAAGAGGCAAAAGTATCTGCTGGGATGGAGTGATGGTGTAGAAGCAAATGACAAAATGTGTGATGCTATTATACAAATGCTATGATTCATATACTCATACATCTGATATTGGGACATTTGTACAGTTCACCTCATCCTGCCTAGCTTAAAATGAACAATTGTTTAGAAAACCAACTACATTTTATAATTATTTGCCTTATGTCCACACTGTGATAACTTGAGCCTAGTCATTTGTGCTTCCAATGACAACTTAGGATTGATTATTTAATGATCCATTGGTTTATCTTCTGGGTTGTCCACACTATTCTCAGGAGTCTTCTTCAATACATCATTTCAAGGTGTTAATATTCTTCCTCTCCTGCTTCTTCAAATTTAAACTTTCAGCTCCATAGTATCACACAGAATACCATCACTCACACAATTCATTTTTAAAATGTTATTAAAAGTTGCAAAATAGAATATAAAAACTAATATAAAGTAAAAAAGAAAAGAGAAAGTAAAAAGTTCAAGGGGAAAAATAAACATAAAGTGGACAAGAAAGAAAAAGGATACAGAGAAATGATTACTGATCTTCTCTACAGCAGTTGTAAATTTAACTTTCTCTAAAGGTACATGTCTCTTTTCTTCCTATAATCTATCATATCTAACAATCAAAATGTAACAAATCCTAAATTCATTTTTAGTGACCTTTCAAAGTTACAACAGCACTGAAAAAAGTTATTTATGATCATTTTTCACACGCTGCAGCATCCCCATGGTCATGAGATTTACGTTCAGATACTTGACAAATGGTTCATATTCACAGAGACTTCAGAGGATAATTAGAACTGCAGAAAAAACAATTACTGCCAACCTGCCTTCCACTGAGGACCTGTACATGGCATAAGTCAAAAAGAGGGCTGGGAAAATACTTACAGACCCCTCGCATCCTGGACATAAATTGTTTCAACTCCTACCCTCAAAATGACGCTATAGAGCACTGCACACCAAGACAACTAGACAAAAGGGCAGTTTTTCCCTGAACACCATCACTCTGCTAAACAAATAATTCCCTCACCACTGTCAAACTATTCACTAAGGCTGCATTAGTATTACTATTACTATTAGTCCTCTCATCATTCTCATCACCTATCTCTTCCCACTTATGACTGCAGGACTTAACTGTGGCTTGTATCCTTAGGATTTACATTGATATTGTTTCCTGATTGCTTATTTGTACCCTATGACTATCATTAAGTAAATGATTCTTGACAAATGTATCTTGCTTTTTTATGTACACTGAGAGCATATGCACCAGACAAATTTATTGTGTGTCCAATCACACTTGGCCAATAAAGAATTATATTCTAATCCATATATGACATATGTAGTGTCCTGGGGTCATGTGATCCCTTTTGCAACCTTCTAACAAGCAAAGTCAATGGCAAAGCCAGATTCACTTAACGACTACGGGGGGAACATTTCTCACTTAGCAACGTAAGTTCTGGGCTCAATTGAAATCATAAATCGAGGACTACCTGTATATGCAATCTGACATTGGAGCTGAAGTGCAGAAGGCTTCTGGTAAGGAGTTGGCACATGTTTGTAATCATTTCTAAATAATAGATCACACTCCACTTTTTACAAACATTGCTTTAGTCATGCTATTTCTAAAGCTGGAGCTATCAACGCAAATGGAAAAAAGTTCTATTATTTCAGGGAGCATTGCCTCCGTGCAGCTCAACAGCGAGGGCTCCGAACACACAGACACAGACACACACAGACACACACACACACACACACGAACGCCACTGTTAAGAACACAAAGAGCGATAAATCAGACACCCTAGCGTGAAAACTCATTCTCCATGAAGTAGCATTTGGTCTAACGGCCAAGCAACTAACTCTCACGCTGCCACAACGCGGTCTACCCCGTGACAGCGTGGTGTAGAAGAGAACTACGGGGAGCATGCGCAAAAGGAACATTTTGCCCCATCGCTGGGGGGAGAGCGCTGTCGTTCCTCTGAGTGCGCAGGCGCAATAGTGGCCCGGCAACGGAGGCCCGCCTTCTCTGGCCTGCTAAGAGACGCTAACGTGATGGCTGACGGAGTTCGCTCGTGCTTTCCTCGCCAGCGCTATCTCAAGATGGAGAGCCGACGCCAGATAGGACAGCTGTAAGTCTCGGTGATGTAGAAGGTGGGCTTCTTCCTCCCCGGTGCTTCTCGCCGTCTCTCCTCCCTCCTGTTCGTGCCTTCCCACATTCTTAAGCCATGCTGCCTTCGGCTTATGGGACTTGGTATTTGGCACATGTGGACCGGGTGGCTTAGTGGAGAGGAGAACATTGCACGTTTGGACATTTCAGATATGTGCTAAAGTTTGCCTGGCATTAAGGTTCATGGGCTAGGAAATGGCTGCTGTGTGGCTGGGTCTCCTTGGGGTCCGGCTTTTTACCAGTGAGCCTGACTTTGCCCTAGATTAAGAAAAGGCGGCACGCTCCTTTTAGGGGTCCGCCTTATGCAGTAACAGGTGTGAGCATTCTTACAGGAACCTGATGGTCATGTATGATACTGCAGACAGATTTTTCTGTATGGTATTCAGGCCGAATACCATACAGGAATTTAAGATGTGCTAACTTGTGATGTGCAGTGTATAGTTTTATATGATTGTTGTGCCTTTGACTGCTGTTAATTTGGTGACTACTGTATATTTGTTTTTTGTTTTTAAAAAGTAAAGTCTGAGGAACCAGGCACAAGCAACTGATCTTGTACTGATTTTATTTAATCGCTTTTGTGATAAATATTGGAATCGGCAGATACGTTTTTATTTTTACCTGTGGCTAATCTGTGTTTCTTACAGGTGCTGAATTTATTAAGCTAGAAGAAAACAGAAAAAAAAAGACTAATTTGCAGCAACTCTTTATAGGTATTGTATTTCAACTTCTTCCCATGTTCTCGATGGAATAAATTGACTTTTAAGTCGATAAGGAAAACGTGAAATTAAACATTAATTGGTATATATAAGCCCTACCTTTACCTTTATATAATTCAATATTACATTATATTTTATACGTAGCACCACAGGTTTGTGTTATTGCATTCATGTTTCTGAACATTTCTGTGCAGTTTCCTTAAGGTTTCTCCTAATATTAGATTCAGTAATAACCATACGATTGCATTGCATGGTTGGATTGCAATCACTAGTCTAAAATCATTCAATGAACTCTGTGGCTAAGTAAGATCCCGAAGCAGTCTCTTCCACCTCCAAGTCCAATATCTTTATCACCAAGCTGTACTGGCTGTATTTTGTGGAACTGAACATCAGTTTTGAATTATATATATGCACTCTTACTGCTCTGTAGGTAACAGATTAATCTGGTTATCTTTGTTCATGGAGTGCTAAATTAAATGGTCACCTTGGCACAGGGAGCCCTTGTGCTCAGTCTTGGAGCTCTTCTGTAAAGAGGGCCAACATTGCCTCAACAACGTTGCTAAATGTTTTATTGTCATAAAATCAACTCTTAAATGTGATGGGTAAAGACTCAGGTTTAAAACTCACAAAAAAAAATAATCTCTAGACTGACCCTTATTTAACCTGACTAATTGAAGGATGTTGGAAGGATAAAATAGGGGAGCAAAGACATATATTTCTCCGAAGTGCCTGCAACAGGAATATGATATAATAAAAATTGGAGATTAAATTTCAGATTCAGTTCTTAGGTTAGTCAAATATGAAGAACTAAAAACCGTTGGAAGGGACCTTGGAGGTCTTCTCATCCAACCCCCTGCTCAGGCAAGAAACCCTACACCATTTCAGATAAATGGTTGTCCAATCTCTTCTTAAAGACTGTTGGAGCGCTTACAACTTCTGGAGGCAAGTTGTTCCACTGATTAATTGTTCTCACTGTCAGGAAATTTCTCTGTAGTTCTAGGTTGCTTCTCTCCTTGATTAATTTCCATCCACCGCTTCTTGTCCAGTAATTTCATTCTGCTTAGCAGGTTTTTAAATCTGTAAAAGAGGACACCATTGTAAAACTCTAGGATGGATGTGGATTCTAAAAAGTGTTTATTAACGAAGCATTTTGAATATGCAAAATATTAAACATTTATAGAAGTGTTCCACAATAAATGTTGCCTGAAATTAGTTTTCAAGAATTGAACATATAAATTGAATACATTGCTATCTGCTGATGGACATAATTCCCAAGCAGTGCTCCAGCACACACATGAATGCGGTAAGTGTAGATGTCTAATAAGATTAGAAAGTTTTAAGCATCTATATTCTCACTTTGCCTCATTCCATTTGCCCTTGCTAGGTTTAATAATTCTGCATCCTGTGTAAATTGTTGAGTTTTAATAGAGCATTTTATCCTTAAAGGAAGTTGATTTAATTATATTTTATGTATACCTTTGGCCCAGGCTTATTTTCTCTCAGTCAAGCCCAGATGGAGACAGGGTGTGTGTTGAACTTGTTTGTATGACTTTAGAAAATTGAGGCAAAATTGACTGGATTTTAAGTTTGAAGCTTACTGATCATATCTCTTACTATTTTTTCCAGGTAAGAATTTATTGAAGAGTAGTGCCCAAATTCTGCAGGAAGAGAAGAACCAAGTTTTCCTCCATTGGTCAAATTCATATCAGGTGGAAATATAACGCAGTCAACAATTGTCTCATAAGGATTGTAATAAGTCTTCTAAGCAACCTTTTTCATGCTGAATTAAAAAATGAGGTCAGGTTTTTTTTATCAGGCTTAGTTTTTTGTGACCCTATTATTCCGTTCAATTAGTGGCATGGTGCTTTATGTTCACTATAGTAGCATATCTGTATCAGATATGTTTAGTTTGGAGGGATCAATCCACTCCCCACCTCCAAGTTATGTTATTTCTGCATAACAAACACAACAGGGATCACCTGTAAAATAACCACACTATGAAATACCCAGATTTACCATCTGAAATGAAGGTACCCATGTAAAAGTTTTACTGTATCAAAGCTTCTAAAAATGGGACAGTTAGTGACAGTGACTAATATAATGGTTGTGCTTAGGTAAAGCAGAAAAGGAAATGTTTAATTCTGATCTAACATTTCAGGTTATCTAAAATGAGCCACATTTGTTGATGCAAGGGGATCTGAACAATCTTGTTTATGATTTGAAGTCTTAGAAGCAGGATGAACTTTTAAGATCAAAATGAAAGGGAATCTTCACTGTCATGATAGTTAAGGGTTTTTTTTTTTCTTTCATAGCCACCATAATGAATGTAACAATTTATTCTCCCAATAAGATGGACTAGTGTTTTGTAAATATGTTTATTCCGTTATGGAGACTCTTGGTCATGAACACAATGTAAATAATTGACTCCTTGAAAGTTAAGACGGGAGGGTCTTTTTCATAATGGGAATAATTTATTTTCTACATGTGGGCCCATGCTGCTAACAGGAAAGTGTTACATGAGAACAAGAAAGAAAAGATCCAGTGTGAAAAATATAAATGGAGTATTTTTGGAGAACTGAAAGTCACTATACTTTTCTCAGCCTGCAATTTGGATACACAAAGTAAGGTGTTTTTTTTCCATGAGAAGGATAGTAAAAAGAAAAAAAACATCAAGCTCAAATAATGCCCCAAATATACCTCATTTTTTCACAAACAGTTTTGGGAATAATAAAGCAAGAAATTCACAAAATACTAATGAATTTAACATGTCGTTGAAAGTTCATTTCTTGGACATTCACTTGGACTTTTTCCCCTAACAACACTAACTACTCAGTGATGAGTATGGTGAATGATTTCCCCAGGATATTTGAAACATGGAAAAACCAAGAAAAGTTGAGTCCCAGCATACTGGCTGAGTATTGCTAGCCTTTGAGATAAAAACCACCAGATAATTCAACACTGCTTTTTGTGCTACAAATTAAACTGTAAATACAGGCTATTATCAAAAGTAAATTATTGATCACTCAGATACCGTACCTGATAGAAAAATCCTGGAACATTTGAATTCAGCATGAAAAACTATGAGACTAACCAGTTTTCGTGTGACATTTTTTTGTTCTCCATCCTTTCAAGTTACCCTTTGCAACATTGTTGATTCCAAGTGTAATTTTTAATCCATTTTAAGGGTATCCCTATGGGGAAAGCTCATGGATATAACCATACATAGATACTTTATCATCTAGAGATACAAATCTGCACATCAAATGCAGTCCAAGAAGTTAAGGATTACATAAGGGGTATATTTTTAATGTGAATAAATCTCTAATCAAGCATCTCCACTATTTCTTCCAAACTAACTAACAAGCGGCTGCCAATTCTAAAGCTGTGATAGTTTTATCCCATTCTCAAATTTATCCTACGAGAGCCTTGAGAGCTCTTGCACCGTATTTCTCTGATAAGTGTCTCCAGATTAATTACCAGAAAACAAGATTATGCTAACTGTTCTAGAATAACCAACTGACAAATTCAGGAAAATTAACTAGGCATACTTTTAGAATGAGAGGGAAGCTCAGGTTAATCATGTACCAATATCTTAGACAAATGGTGCAACAATACTGAAGTTCTTCCACTCAAAAAATCCCACCTTCCCCATCAAATAATTTGCACCGAAATGTTTGTTGCAGCCCCTCATTGGATTTCAGTTCAGTTCATATTCTAGCTATGCTTTGCTGGAATCAATTCAGATGTTTCCAGGTATAATGCAAACTTATAGCTGAAGTCTAGGTTGTCTAGGATGGTGATTTACATGGCTGGTAATTTTCACTTTATGGTTAAAAATAAACGTTTGACCCCTTAACAACCCTTGCAGTTTACTCAGTTTGGGAAAGAGCCTCAGTATATATATATCCTTTTGCCATATGGTGGTCTATCAGAAACCTTATTTTCAGTACTGTAAAACTGTATGTTTCAAATGTTATGTATCTAAGATTGAAGAATTATTTAAATGCCATCTGAAGCTAGCTACCCTGACCTCACTGGATAATAAGCCCAATTATGCTTTTGAGTGCATGCACTAAAATAAGCCCTCCCCCCCCCAAAATAAGACCTCTCTGAAAATATTGCAACACAGCAGCAGCCATGAGGTGATCACGCTTGCCACCTCCTGCATCCCCAAAATAATAAGACCTCCCCGAAAATAAGGCCAAGTGCTTATTTCAGGGATCAAAAGAAAATAAGACCCTGTCTTATTTTTGGGAAAACATGGTAATTATTTCACTAATTTGGAATTGCATGGGTAATACAGAACCTTCTCTTGGGCATACTTTAATATATGCCATATACCTTATTGGAGGGCTGGTTCAATAGGATTCTCTCTGAGATAAATAGGCTCATACCAGTTTAGCAAATAGACACCAAAGCAATAAATATATTCTATACAACAACATGTGAATTGTTGATTTTTGACCATAACAACAAAACATTTTCCATTGTCATACTAAGAAGTTTAATTAAACTGATTTTTGAGGTTTTATAAGATTTGAGGTTTTAATACCTTTCAATAACATTATAGAACCCTTACTTAACTTACTGAAGGACATACCAAAATATTTGTCTTAAGTTTTAACTCAGTACCAGGTATGGGATTTGGATTTTTGATAACTTTCAGTAGTCAATTTATGATGTGACATAAGCTTTTCAAATAACATTACATGGTAGAATATCTTTCTGCCACTAGGTGGAATAAAGTTCTCTGAATGGCCTTCTGCTTTCTCTGGTATCTTTTCTGCTGTAAACACAATTGCTGTAATTGCATTCCAAGAATTGTTACCCTAATTGATTACATAAGGGAACTGTCTGAACAACAGAAGGAAAACAAGTGCGGTGCTTTTTAGCAAGCCATTTCAGGAAGTTTGAGGAACAAGCTCTTCTGGAAAATTCCATCAGAGTACTTTGAACAAACTCTGTGCTTTATGTAAGGCAAGAACATTGGGCATCTGCATAAGTGATTTAATTCAGTCTTTTTGAAATATAAAATTCTAACGGGCAGAAATAGGAGAGATGTATTATAAGTGGAGGACATACATAAGAATTTCTGCTAAAACTAGAAAATGAAAGTTTAACTTTTTATATTATCCCCTAATTTCAGGCATGGAATATGCAGAGCTTTTTCAACTGATTGACACTAAAAGCACTTCTTTTGTTTCCACGTAAATTCAACAATGGATAAAGAAACTACAAAAACTGACACTTGAATATTTTCAAGTTCAATCAAATAGGGAAATCTAGAGCTGACTTTTTAAATTATCAATTGTGTTCAGGTGCCCGTGAGTTTAGGAACTTTGTTTTATAGTCCTTAAGTCAATTGATTAACTAAAATTGTTTTCTGCATCACTGCTGCTTTATGGCCCATGTCATAAATGGTGAATTCCTGCATGCTCTTACTATATTAGAAGGACATCTTAACATAAGAGACATGTTAGCTTGGCACTTCAAATTCCAATTTGAAAACAATTTTGGGGTAGTAGAAGGAAGCTGAAAGGGAACCTCTTTTTAGAGTCTTTAAAGAAAGTCATTTGCTTAATATAAGAACTACATAACAAATTGGTTGGGATATTGGTTAGGATTGGTAAATCTTACATTTTATCAATAATATATATAAATATTGGTTAATGGCATTGTGTTCTCAACAATTCATAATTAAACATCTGAGATTGGGAAGTCTATTTGTGTATAATTCTTTTCATGTTTTGTTATGTTATAACTTTGGGAGTGGTTGCAATTTACTTCAGTTAATCATTTTCCCTTCATGAAAATCAGTGCTAAGGGAGTTACTTTATTCATCCAAGGTTTGGAATGCTTGTCATATAAGGCTAACTCATAGCTGAGGTAAGAGTGCATGAAGCTCTATTTGACTATTGCATAGCTGTGAAAAGGAATTACACTATTTTTGCCAAATTCTGTCTTCCATCATATACTACTGGATGATTATAGGGAGCTGGCTTCCTTCTCCAGCTTGAAAATGTAAATCACCCCAGGCTGACATAACAGAAGAGGCACTTACAAGAGCAAAGGCAAAAACTTCTTGATTTTGCTGTCCCTTGTACTATTTTGTATCAGATTCAAACAAACCCTGCTAAATGAAGCAAACACTATTATCTTTGTTGTAACATTTTGCAGAACAATAATCTGTAGGTTAGCTTTTGCAATTTATCTGGTTGACAACAACTTTCAGTGTGTTTTCTTGATAAAGACACTATCTTTTAAAATGCTTTCTTTATGTTAGTTGTGTTGCTATAGCAACTTAAAACATGTTGCTCTTGTATGTTTTTCTGAAACATCTTTCAATTTAATGTTTCTCAGCCATTTCTTTTCACAAATTTGGGTTCTAGTAAAATAACCATGGTTTATAGGCATTCTCTTAGGCTTATCACTTATAGTAAGCCTTTTAAAATGCATTGATACTGTTTACAATACTTTTTGTAATTAAAATAGAACAAAACAGTACTTTATAGTGTAGGAATTTGCTTTTTCTAAACTCAAATTAAAACAAACAGATATTATTAAGTGAACTAACCAGTGCAAAACATTATTTTGGCTCCTAAGCCAGAACCTTTCAGTAGCTGTTCCAGTCCTGGACTTCACCAAATGTTCTGCCAAAATGTACTTGCTTCCTTTGTTTTGGCACGCTCAACTGGAGGCCACCTGCTCTCACCCCTCTCATGTTTCTCAATTTGAGGATGGAATTTGTGCCTTGCCTAGACTCATTTGGCATATCATTCATTGACAGCCACTGTTACAAATCAAGGATTACTCTTAATATCAAGGTTGAGGTGTCACTTTAAAAAATTGCATCCTAGAGCTGTGTTGATAGTGCTTAGCATTCAGCCATATATACTAATACAGCATACTGTATTCTCACCTGCCAGGTGATGTTTCTGTTTGGCCTTATTAAAGCATTAAACTAGACATTTATGGACTATCTGATGTGATAAATATGTAATTTTTAAAAAAAAAACATATGGGACTGATGAAGCAATGCAAAGAAAATGAATGTTCACTCAGGGAGGATAGACAACAGAGTACAAAGGTCCAATTTCTTTCCACCTGTTGGAGTGGTGTTAAAAATTGACCTCCAGATTTGCAACTTGGATGACTCAAAATCGGGCTGAACTGTGGCTCTTATGAAAGCACACAGGATTTACAAGAAGCTACAAAATCACAATCAGCCCTAGCTTTGTTATTCAATCAGTAAAGGTAAAGGTTTCCCTTGCACATATGTGCTAGTTGTTCCCGACTCTAGGGGATGGTGCCCATCTCCTTTTCAAAGCCAAAGAGCCAGTGCTGTCCGAAGACGTCTCCGTGATCATGTGGCTGGCATGACTAAACGCATGGAACACCTTCCCACCAAAGGTGGTTCCTATTTTTCTACTTGCATTTTTTACATGCTTTCAAACTGCTAAGTTGGCAGAAGCTGGGACAAGTAACAGGAGCTCACTCCGTTACACCACTAGGGATTCGAACCACTGTATTGCCGACCTTTCTGATCGACAAGCTCAGGGTCTTAGCCACTGAGCCACTGCATTGATATTGTACACGCATCCGAAAGGAAGCAGTATTTGTGACATGATCCTCTTTCCTGCCCAAAAACTGGTCCTAGATACATTTTTACAAAAAGATAATTTTTATTTACATATTC